GCAGCCACTGTGGAAAACTGCAGCAGTTCTTCAAAAAATTAAAAACAGAATGACCATATGATGCAGCAGTCCCACTTCTGGGTATGTAAGAAAGCAGAGTCTTGAAGAGATATTGTACACCTATGTTCACAGCAGCATGATTCACAAGAGCCAAAAGGCGGAAACAACACAAGCGTCCAGCAATGGATGGATGGACAAACAAAATGTATTATATACTTATATGGAATATTAATCAACCTTATAAAAGGAAGGAAATTCTGACATATGCTACATGAATGAAGCTTGAGGACACTATGCTAAATGAAAGAAGCCAGTCACAAAAAGACAAGTACTGTAGGCTTTCACTTAGGTGAGGTATTTACAGGAGTCAAATTTGTAGGGACAGACAGTAGAGGCTGGTTGCCAGGGGCTGGAGGGAGGGGAAGTGGAGAACTGTTGTTCAATGACTAGAGAGTTCCAGTTTTGCAAGATAAAAAAGTTTCTAGAGATTAGCTACACAACAATGTAAAAACACTTGACACGCTGAACTGTACACTTTAAAATGGTTAAGACAGTAAATTTTATGTGTACTTTAACACAATTACAAATAAATTTTAAAAAAGATTAAAAAAGAAAAATATACTGGATGGAATAAATGGAAGATTAGGATCATAAACTTGAAGTCAAAGCAACAGAATCTATCCAAAATGAAATATAAAGAGAAAAAATAATTAAAAAACAAGAAAGAGCATGAGTAAGCAGGAGGCAACTTTAAGCCTCCAGGTAAAAAGACTGAGTACCTCCATTCTTCCCAAATTAGTTTTCATGTTTAATCTCATCCACAAGAAGCTTTTCCTTTAATTTAACAAAATAATTCCAGAGTTCATCTGAAAAATTTCAAAAGTGGGACTTATCAAGAAGCTTTTGTAAAAGAAATATAATGGGGAGGTGGATAGCTGTATCTAGCAGGTATTTAAATATACTCTAAAAGGTATATTTACAACAGATTAGATTACACCAGTGAGGTGCTACCACGCAAACAGCTAAAACAGACGGCACCCAGACAGATCGTAACACTAATAAGAACTTAAAACAGAAAGTGGTACTACCAATCAGTGAAAAGGGAATATTCAACAATACTAATAATGAAATTATTATTCAATAGTAATTACTCAAAAATCAGCCTGGGTTGTCATGGCAATAGTTGAAATAAAGCATCATTTTAGTTCAGAGTTTCTTAACCTTTGGCCAATTAAGTATTATACTTCATTGGGCTTCAAGCTAATTGTGAAAATGGGGTGAAAAGTGACACATCCTTCCTTTAACTTTTCTCTTGAAACTGAATCTATAGGTGGGGAAAGTCTTTACAGTTTCATAAAAACTTACTGTTTTTTAACATATTTTACATCATCAGGTAATATTTGATTGTCACCACTGTCATGTTATAACATCTGGAAGAGCTCTCCATTGATTAGAAGGGAAAAACAGTCCTACCATTATGATCAGGGGTTCTGCTTTTGTTTACATAAGTTTAAGAAATACAAAATAACTTTAAAAAATTATGAAGTATGAATCCTTTCAAATATTTTGAAATAACCTATAGGCTGCTTATCAAGTTGAAAAGCAGAAATACCACACAGAATTGAAAAGAACTTGGAGAAGCCACATCCCCTAGAACTGACAAACATGCTCTGTGTCCTGGGAACAGAGGAAAAACTGAAGCAGTCAAAGGAAGTCCTATGGCAAAGAACATCACCCACTCCTGAATAGCTGTTTCTTCTAAAATTTTAGTATTTTGAAGCAGGTCTAAGAGGAAGTGAGAACCACGCAACTAGCAAATCTTTGGACACTCTCAGCACAGCTGAGAGCTCTGTTACTGCTATTACCGGCATTCCTATTTCATCAGTCCCTTTTGAAATTTTCAAAACTACCATCATTTTGAAAATGGTATTTCCAAGTAAATATCTTACTGGAAAAAAGTTCCAGAATTTTGGGCACAGATCAAGTGTCTCTGACATTTGGCTGTCCCTTTGTTTTTACTGCTTTGGAGAAGCTCCCGACGTCAGTGGGACTGGTTGCTTAAAAGTCTGTATCAGCAGGCGTGGGCACCAGATGGGGGCCCCTGGTACCGAATGGACACTTGCCCGATGCCGGGAGAAGCATCGACTTCCTCGGGGCTGGGGGTGGGGGGTGGAGTGGGGGCTTAATTATTGTTTTCAGGATCTTTGATCAAGAAATAGGAGCAGATGAGAGCACTTCTTCACTTAATAAACAGGAATTTGCTGGATTTCCAGAGGAAAGTCTAGAAACACTTGATTAGACTTTGGGCAGAAATTTTACTTTCTTTCAAATAGAAAAGGAAAGCCTCCTCTCTCATGGTTTCACATACCTGGACTATATTATTGATCATATTCTGGTTTCAGCCCTGTAGTCAACATTATGTCTGCCACTGAAGAAGGCAGAACTCCTGCTCTATTCGGGATGGGCCACTATGAGTTCAGTGTTCTCTGAA